AAGTACTGAACATTTTAATATACTTCTTTTTATAACTGTCTTAGCATGATAATTTTTAACTGGTATATATATAATCAGTCTACATTCTAAATGATCTGAACTTCTTTTAAAAGCTTAGAGAAAGTGATGTTCAGCAAAATAAGGCAATGAGCCATCAGTTACTTTAACTCATTTTGGTATGGCTTTAAACTGACTTAGATGCATCAATAATGGTTATATTATGAATTTGTAGAGAACCTTATGTTTGGCTGAGTTGTGTTGCTCATTGGAATTTGAACTATTTGTACAATCATAAACAAACTAATCAATAATAAGATATATTTTGAAGCAAGTGATTACAGTAATATATGTCTTGTACATTTAGATTATCCCCTGAAGGTGTGGACATTGTGTTGGATTGCTTGTATGGAGATGATGCAAATAAAGGATATAACCTTCTGAAACCTCTTGGGCGCTACATTCTGTATGGTAAAACTGAATTGTATAGATTTTTACCATGAAATGTAGAAAGTTCATGAATTAAGTCAAGGAGGAAATTGTTTTGTTAGAGTTATATTAACTGTTTCATTGGTTTGTGTTTTAGAGTCTATGGCATACTTTTTTTGTATTTGTGCATTGTGCTATAAAATTACAGCATATACTAACCTTCTTTACATATATCTTTGCACAAATGTATTTGCCTTGGCTATGCACATTATGCATCCCAGGAAAATCAAGTTTCTTAGACTTTGTTCAACTATGTGACTTAAGTGGTGGATGTTGGATTGAAATTAATAGCATGTTTACATTGATAGTGGCCTCTCAATTACCAGCAAAAAATACAATAAATTTGCCATTTTCAACTGAAGTGAACCACTTGAACAAAGAGTATGAAATATGCTGATGCTGCTTAAGTCCTTCTCTGACAGGACATGTATTTCCTCCTTAGAGCAATGTTCAAGGAATTAAAAGATGCAAAAGTGAGTGCCTGAGACTAACATAAGGGATTTACTGTATCTGGACATTTACAATTGTTTAATAAATTTGAAATGATCTTGCACTTTGAAGACTTCAAAGATTAGATGTCTACAGATACTTTGCTGCTAGTTTTATAAAAGACCCCATTATATATGAATTGATAAGAAGAACTTCATGATGGGGGGGGGGGGACAAATACAACCAAGCCAAAGCTTGCTAAGTATGACTATTTTTCATCAGATTCTCTTCTAGTCTATAGATATTGTTATTAATACTACATCTACTAGGAATGACTGTATTTTTCATCAGATTCTCTTCTAGCCTATAGATATTGTTATTAATACTACATCTACTAGGAATGACTGTATTTTTCATCAGATTCTTTTCTAGTCTAAATATATTGTTATTAATACTACATCTACTAGGAATGACTGTATTTTCCATCAGATTCCCTTCTAGCCTATAGATATTGTTAGTAACACTACATCTACTAGGAATGACTATTTTTCTTCAGATTCTCTTCTAGTCTATAGATATTGTTATTAATACTACATCTACTAGGAATGACTGTATTTTTCATCAGATTCTCTTCTAGCCTATAGATATTGTTAGTAATACTACATCTACTAGGAATGACTGTATTTTTCATCAGATTCTCTTCTAGCCTATAGATATTGTTAGTAATACTACATCTACTAGGAATGACTGTATTTTTCATCAGATTCTCTTCTAGTCTATAGATATTGTTATTAATACTACATCTACTAGGAATGACTGTATTTTTCATCAGATTATCTTCTAGTCTATAGATATTATCAATACTACATCTATTAGGAATGACTGTTTTTCATCAGATTATCTTCTAGTCTATAGATATTGTTATTAATACTACATCTACCAGAGTTAATTTCTAAGCAGTGAAGTGCAATATGCTTTAAAGCCAATGTATTAGTCAGATGTATTTTACTGTCATGTGCTACCTGTACTTGCTACTGCCAAAAACAAGTTCTTATCAAATGAAATTCTGACATCTGCTCCATAAAGTATTTCTATCGTGAATGCATTGATCTCTTACTTGTTTGATGGAGTGTAAGTGCTCTGGGGGTAATACTCTCTCTAAAGAAAAATGACTGTTGAAAGTTAAGTTCAAGGTTAAAAAAACCTAAGTTTTATGATGTTTGATATTAATATTATATGATACTTCTGTGCTGTACTTTTAGTAATCTTATGCAACACAATGTTTTAATGAAACTGGTTACTTAATATTATTCACATGTGAAGTTCTGAAATGTTCCTTGATTCCGAATTTCAGGAGAACCAACTTTGTTGGAATGAGACATGATCTAAAGAATTGGTAGGGGATCTTGAACAGATGTGGGAAGCATTTAGGGAAAAATTAATATGCATAAGAAAAAAAGGGCAGTGGAGCAGAATAAGCCAGTATGGTTTAGTAAAGGTTTAAGAGGTCATATTGTGTATAAACATAATAAATTCATGAAACTTATACTTACTGGAAATAATAAGGACTTGAATAAATATAGGGTATCAAGAGAGCTGGTTAAAAATTAAGTTAAAATGGCAAAAACTATATATGAAAGAGGGTTGACTGAGAGTTAATCAAACAATAAGGAATTCTTTAGGTATATGATCAGTAAGGAAAATGTTAGGATGGGGATTGGGCCTCTTAAAATAATAGTGGGGAGCTTATCTCGGAAGATTATGAGGTGGTAAGCTTATTAAATTATATGTTCTTTTCAGTTTTTACGAATGAAGATACAAGTATTATGCCTGAACCAGAATACTTAATGTATGGGAAAATATTGATGTAAAAGATATCATTTTAAGTTCTGAAATTGTAAGAGAAAGGTTGGTAAACCTAAAAATTGATAAATCCCCTGGACCAGACAACTTTTTTAAAGGAACTTAAAGATTTTATTTGTGAACTGCTAGCTAATATTTTTTATGGGTCATTGAGTAGTGGAAAAGTATTAGAAGATTGGAAGTTGGCTAATGTTAGTCCAATAATTAAAAGGTGATAAGCATTGTCCAGGAAATTATAGGCCATTTAGTCTTACATCAGTAGTTGGAAAGGTTTTGGAGAGTGTGATTGCAGAGTCACTTAAAGAAGTTTGATATAGTGTCAAAAATCCAGCATGGTTTCACTAAAGGAAAGTCTTGTTTAGCAAATCTTCTGACATTCTATGAGGATGTTACTGCAAGAGGTGATGAAGGAAATACTGTGGATTTGGTTTACCTTGATTTTCAGAAAGGTTTTAATAAGGTGCCTTACAAAAGACTTGTTACAAAAATTAAATGTGTGGGTGTGGGGGAAATGTTATTAAATTTGAAAGAAAATTGGCTGGAGAGTAGAAAGCAGAGAGTAGTAATAAATGGAGGTAGATCTGACAGGATCACAGTTACAAGCAGTGTGCCTCAGGGCTCTGTGCTGGGTTATCTGCTGTTTGTGATTTATATTAATGATATTGACTATGAGATAACTAACAAAATTTTGAAGTTTGCAGATGAAATTAAGATTTTTTGGGGTGGCTAACTGTATCAGAGATGCTGCGGACTTACAGGGAGATTTAGACCATTTGATGCATTGGGCCAATATGTGGCAGATGATATTTAACTACCCAAAATGTAAGGTGATGCACGTAGGTTTTTACAATTCAAATTATTGTTACAATTTAAATGGAAATACATTAAATACTATATTTAAAGAAAAAGCCATGGTGTTGTGATGACAAAATCACATAAGTCATCTAAACAGTGTATTGTAGGTAGCAATAGGGCTAATAGGATTTTGGGTAGCATCTATAGAAACATTGAATCCAAGACAAGGAATATTATTGTTTCACTGTATAGATCAATTGTAAGGCCTCATTTAGAGTACTGTGTACAGTTTTGGGCTCCCTTCCTCAAGGTTCAGAGAAGAGCCACTAGGATGATACCTGGAATGGTGGGATTGTCTCATGAGAAGAGACTAAAATCTCTAAACTTGTTTTCTCTGGAGAGGAGATAGGTCAGAGGGGATTCGATTGAGGTGTTTAAGTTCATAAAGGTGTTGATAATATAGATCCATCAACCTTTTTTGTGTTTAGCAGTGAAAACAATAGGACAAAGGGTCATAAATTCAAATTTTAGCAGCATAAGAGTTGTCTACAGTTTAGACAGTATTACTTTTGAAACAGGATGGTTGGCTTTTGGAATTAGTTGCCTTCAGGGGTGGTGGAGGCAGAAAATTTAACAGAGTTGAAGAAAAGATTGGATGTATACACTAGTAAGGGGGTGGTTATTGTTGGAAACTGGAAAGGACATCCTTGATGGGCTAATAAGCTCCTTTTTCTTTTTAAAATTTTGTATTTATGAATTCTGTAATTCCAAAACATCTATCTTTACAGCCTGAATAATTAAAACTTTACATCCTCCATCTGAAGTTTTATCCTGTATTTGAAAAATTTGACTTCTGAAGTACAAGCTACAGGAAGAAGTCAAATTTGTGATACATGTATATTACACTTTGTTAGTATGTGGAATGCATTATGTGAATCTAAGATTAAGATATTAATCTTTGTAAAAATGTTAACATATTGACTAATTCAATAATATTGTTTGTTATTGCATAGGAACTTCAAGTATTGTAACAGGAGAAACCAAAAGCTTCTTTAGTTTTGCAAAATCTGTGAGTATATAAACTATTCATTTTTAACACAAACATAGTAACGATTTCTTTATCCCTTTCTAGGATCAGGAAATATTGTTACTGGAGAGACTAAAAGTTTCTTTAGTTTAGCAAAGTCTGTGAGTATATTTTGTTTGGTGTTTTTTTACTTTATTTTTATTTATTGTGTTTGAAGTGTGTTTTACTAATTATATTAACTATAATTTTGTTTTCTTCAGTTTGTTTTTCTTATTTTATTATATTTTTCAAGTTCATTTGTAATTTCCTTTATATATTTTTTCTTTCATTTATGTTTACATATCTTACAATAGGAGAAAATGTGGGGGTGAAACTATAATATTGAAATTGTAGAATTCTACTGTCCTGACCTAATAGTTGATAAAAGTTAAGAATTTTATCAACTGTGTGTGTGTGTTTGTCTGTGATGTCAACTTTTAAGAAACAACTAAATCATTGGAAAGGTTAAAAAAATTGCAGGAAGAAATTAAGGTTTTTCAAATGCCATTCATAAGGGGTCCTTTTATTATTGAAATGTATAAAAACAAATTTAGCTTTAAAAATATAAAATACATATAGAATGAAGTTTTGAACTCGTTTACATGTATATAATCTGCAGTGAATCTAGTTCTGTTTCTCAAACTTTTTTTTTTTCGTTAATGCAAGTGTTTTGAAATGTGCACTTAATTCCTCTTACACAGGTTTATTACAATTTTATAAACTATGTGAAATTTGCTCTGAGTATGGACAAGTGCAAATCATACAGGGGCTATCTACCTTCATTTTAATGGAACTTATCCATTCTGAATGGTTATTTTGTGTAATCTGCTCTTCCTACAGCTTTCAGAATAATTTTAACACAAATTTCAGTAGAATGATCTTAGTTTTAGACATTCTAATCTCGTTGTCCAAGGTACTCTAACGAGTTTGGACATTCTCCACTAGATGTTTGTGTTTATGCCAATGATTCATTATCAGTTTCTCAAATTTTTTTAACAGAACTACATGGCTGTAATAATTATCCTTTTTTTTATATAATTAGTTATTGTGCAATCTTCATTAAAATTCTACCATCTTTAAAAAATGATTTTTTGGATAGGACAACAAAAGTTTGGAAGGCTTTAGCATTCATTGTAAATTAGAAATTGTTAATTATGTGACACTAAAATATATCCAAGAAAAATCTGACAAGTGTTTCTTTGAGAGAGCAAGATGTGATTATTTCTGGCATGTATGTATGTGTACATATTTATATGTGGATGTGTTTACATATTTCCAAGTTCTTTGAGCTTTGTTATGCGATTGAAGTTGTACAGAAATTGAAGCCACTTCATCTTTTTTTTTTTTTTTATTACTTGGTCATTTGGCAAGTCTTTGAGTTTTAGTTGTACTTGGAGGTTTAAAAAATCCTGACTTCTGTAGTGAAGGTCAAACAAAGGTAAATAATTTTGTTTCAGATGCTGGTCATGTATAATACTTCTTGGTTTTGTGTATTAATGATCAGTATAGACTTGGTTGTAATATTATTGGTACTACATGTAGCTGTGTAATAATATACACTTTTAAAATTGAAACCCAAGTTTATATAGTTGTTAGTTTTTCTTTGCTGCTTTTATATGTAGCCATGGAATAATTATGGATAACTGAAAATAAAATGCTTAAGTTTTTATCCACAGGGCAGATTATTTATAACTATGAAGAATATAAATGTAAAGCACTAATGTAATAAGCAGCAAAACTGATTTTTACTGTAAAATGTTACATGTAGTAAGTGAATAGATTTATTAATAAAATTATTTGACACTGTCATCAATGTATATGAAACAAGTTTATGTATTCCTCAGAACTAACATTTTTGATTCAAATACTCAGTGGTGGCAGGTTGATAAAATCAACCCTATGAAGCTTTTTGATGAGAACCGTTCTGTGTCAGGATTCCAGTTACGCCACCTTCTTTATCAGCAAGGAGCTCATGAATATGTTCGTGGAGTTGTGAATAAGGTCTTTAAAATGTGGGAAAATGGTCATATCAAACCTGTTGTGGATTCTACTTGGGCATTTGAAGATGTAAGGAGCAATAACTCTTTATTCCCGAATTGCAAAATTATGAACAAGATTGTTTTTCTTCCCTTATTAAGTTATTAGGAATGTGAATGTGCTGGTTCAGCATTTCTGAATAAATGGAAATTTAGTAGTCTTTTAACTAATTGTTTTTTATGAGTAATTATTTTTTATACAGTTATTTTATTTTCCATGAAGTGTACAAATATATTACAAAGACAACTAATTCTGTTACTGAATAATTTGAAACTAATATTTTAAATTGTTGTTTATGGTCATTAGAATTATATTGCCATTTTAATTAACCTTAACTGTAAACATCAATTGAGATAACTTTCTATTAAATTTTATTTTACCTAATCTAATCTTAACAAACCTAAAAAGATCCCTATTTTTACAATTTAGTTACTTTTATAATAATAATAAAGAATAAACATGAAAAACAATGAATAAATTACTTACCCAATCTTCTTTTTCTTGCTGTTAATTGTTGCATGCAAAAAGCAGACAATTTCCCCTAACTGTCAAAATTTTTCTGGCTTTCTAACTATACAAAAGAGCTTGTCATGAACTTTCCAATGGGAATGAAACTTGTACTCTGAGTGAAATTAATGCTCATCTGTTCAAAACACAATATTATACAATATGTCATTTGATAGATGAAAACCTTGCCTTTCTATTGGTTACAGGTAATATATAATCAAACATAAAAGAGAACTATTAACAAAGCCTGAAAGAGGGAATGCAACTGGTAGGTGTGGCAGAAGGGGTGTGATTTTCTATTTATAGCTCTGTAAATTAACAAAATTGAAGGTTATAAAAAAAAAATTATAGTTTGTTTGAGCAGTGATGCTTCTATAGGGAGTAATTTATGTTTAATTTCATACTTTTTCAAGGGGTGGTGGAAAAATTGAGAAGACAAGATGCCTAGAGAAAATGTCACGAGTGTCACGCTAGGGGAAATTCAGGATGTTTTTTAATATTGCCTTGTAGAAATAGTAACTTAAAACTTGTATACTATTAAAGTATGGATTATTAGCTACGAGTTTATGCTATAATAATTGGCGTAACATAAATAAAAAGTAATTCAATATAATTTTGAATGTAAGACACTAAAACTTTGTCATGCATGTAAAGGATACTGGGGGCAAAAGGGTTAAACCATGTATTTATATACTTGAGTAAAGTAGGTGGTGATTCTGTAAAAAGTTAACATGTATGGTTTTCGTAAAATAGTTTTGTGCTATATCTCAATTTTTTTCTGGAATAAACTCACTTCTATAGGTTCCAGAAGCCATGCAAAAGTTACATGACCGAAAGAATGTTGGAAAAATCATTCTTGATCCCAATATGGAACCAAAACCTAAACCTAAGCTTCAGGTAACAAGAACTTAACTGCTTATTTCTAATTTTTTAGAACATACTATGTTTTTATATTAAACTTCATTGTGTAATTTAAAACAAAGGTGTAAGGTAGTTTCTGAAGGTATTTGAGGTAAAACAAAACATTATGATCAATTACTTTTGAATAGTAATTGAAATTTTTTCAAAATTAATCTAAAAAGCAAAATTTCAACATTAATTTATAAATAAATCAGTTTTTTAAAGATTAGTCTTTAGACCATTTTTAAGTAATAATTTGTTAATGTTTTACATAAAAAAAAAAATTGTACATTTGGTAAAAATCCCAGATGAGACAGCAGTCAGTTGAAGTGAGGTAATTTTGTAATTGCACAGAAATGTGTGCACACACACACACAATTTGAGCATTACAGTTATTTCTTTATTCAGGTGTCATGGAAAGAAAATTGCAGGTTTATGTAATATGACTTGCAAACAGAAATAACTAGATAATTGTATACGTCACAATCATTAAATATAATTGTTTGTACTCATGTGATAACCAAACCTGCAATGTCTAATTTCATTTCAAAGAACACACAGAATTAGATTACCAACTTTTTATTTTTTGTATTTCTAATAAAAAGTAAAATGTACATTTTAATTCATGTACATAATTAATTCATGTTGGGAGTGCCCTTAGGCAACTATCAAAGTATGCAATTTTGATAATGATTTGTGATGTGAGAAACAACTATAACAATGGATGGGAGAGTTCAGTGTTGATGGTTTGTGCCACAGTGAAAACAGTATGAAAGAATGTAGAAAAAAAGTTTTACACCTGGTTCAGCTGGCACGTTTTATTTTATGAGAGTTATTTTTTATTACATTTGTACCTATGCAGTCATTTCACGAGCCTACTGTAAGTAATCATTGTACACATGTTAGCAAAATCTGGATGAAAAACTTGTGAATGCTCAAAATTTTCTGCTTCCACATATGTATAACTGTTACAGTAAATTTTAACATATATTAATTTTTATAAATAAAATAAGCATCTAGTTTTCTAAGTTTCTTTCTGGTGATTGAATACTTGTGATGGAATCTATTATTTAAATTTATCATACTTGAGAAATAAAAAGAATTAATAAAACAGTTTAGCTTTAATATTGGATGTATTTTTTATTGAAATTATGATTTGGAAATTGCCAGATCAATGACAAACTATTGCAAGTCCCTGATTGCATTAATAATGCAGACTTGAAGTACCAAAAACTGATAAATTGTTGCAAAACTCAAACCTGTTGCACCACATATTAAAGCTTTATCCTTTGTTGTTTTTTCCTACATGAAATCTTTATGGAAATTACAAATGCACAGTATCATTATGCTAACCCATTTCAATAAATAGATTTTGAAACACTTTCCACAATGAACACTTAGCAACCACAACTGTAGTTTTTTGTGGATGCTAAAAAAAATTAATTTCAGATTGGTAATATTCTTATTGCTTCATAGAAGTTTGCATTTAATTTCATTTACCTTATATCTTAACTGTTTTAGAGCAAAAATGATTTGTATATTCATTCTTAAAGTTTATTTTACTGTAGGTTTAAACTTCCTTATGTGTTTTAGTACAGTATCGTGAGATTGTACATGCATATTCAAGTTTTGTGATGTTGCTAAAAATACAGATGTTTTGTTTATAATAAACACGTGTAAATGAATCATATTTCAAACTTATAACTGTAACAGAATATAGTTATTACAGCATCATGATGTGTATTAGAATTATATTATTTTTTTTTAACAGACAAAAGGTAGTAAGGATAAGGATAAAGAGAAGGAAAAAGATGGTAAAGCTGTAGGTGAAACAGCTGCAGGAGAGAGTACAGATGCTGAAAAAGAAAATAAGGAAGGTGATTCATCTGCTCCATCTTGTAAGTGTTGATCTTTACATGATGGATTATCTGTTTTTAGTTTTGTTTTTAAAAATAAAAGTTAACTCTTTGAATGGAAAAAAAAACATGAGCATTAGCATTTTATCAAGACATTAAAAACATGTAAATTACTACTAAAATTCAAGCAGAATCTGTAATCTAAAGCTTGTGCTTTTGAATATTACAAGCTGGTCTAGAATTAATTGGTTTAGAACTAATATTTATCTCGTGTGTTTTAAAACTAAGTTCAAATATTCAACTTAGCTTTCACTATGTTCAAAAATCCTGCTCAAAATTTCAATGGTTTCAACAAAATGTTTTCCAATGAAATAATTTGACTCAAAAGTCCTTAATTTCATTATACCTTGATTTTGTTAAATTTTAAACTACTCTTAACTTTTTTTGTAGTCAGTTGGAACACTTAAAATTTCAGACAGATTTCATAGACAATGCAAATTTCTATTGGTCCTCATTATGCACAATACAACACAGAATGCATTACAATGCAATGGGTTACAGTGCAGTACACTACCAAAGATTGGGCAAGTGATGTGTATGTGTATGTATATTTTAAATGGAAAATGTAGAACCAGCAGGAACTAACAAAATTATTATAACAAAACATTCCTGATTACCCATGTGCAGGCTCTAATACTGTTTAAAATAAGATAAGCTCGAGCTTTTAATATAAAAAAGCAGTTGATTGGTGCCTGTTAGATCATTTGACCAATGGGGAGTGAAGAATAAACTTGTTTATCTAGTGTAATATGCATCCTTGTACAAATAGTGAAGAGCGTGAACGAATCCATTTGCAACTACTGCCCAATTTGGCTACAAGAATTATTTGACAGGCTAATTATAAAACATGTTATTCATTATTCCCGTGAGAGAATTGGTCAACTAGGCATCTAATCCCCACTTGACCCTGTTAGCACCTGGAAAAGCTAGAACTCTGTTTGAACAATGCTATGTTTCAATCTTGAGAACTATAGAGAGAAAAGAAATTTTGTGAACTCTGAATTAAAAGGGATGGAAAAAATATGCAGTACAGACCAGTACTACACATTCAAGAACAAAAACTCACAATTTTAATCACCTCACTGAATTGTGAGGCCAAAATCTTCATCAGTGATGATCAAGGAAAATCTACATGTAACAAAGGCTTTGTTAAACTTTGTGCATAATATGGTTACTTCAGTATTGTAGTATTTCATTATTCCTCTCTAGTTCCAACAAAACACTTTTTATATGAAGTATCCTCCTTTACATGTTTTGCTTGTAGTAAACATCTGGTACAATAACTTGTACCTCCTTCTGATCTATGAAGAGCTTCAGTGTGAAAACCATTTTTATAGACCTCTTGTTTGTAAATATTAATTTTTTCTCCCTCCTTTTGACTGGCAAAGTAAAAACTTTCAAAGTGTTGCCTGTACAATCCAAATTTGTCATCTGTAATAGAAACTTCACCATGTTTAACAGACACCTGCCAATTGCACTAAATTGGTTATTACTTTTAGCTTGTGTGTGTATGCACAGGTAATGAGGTAACCAATAAAATAAAAAAAAATTCATCCTTTTTCATTCATTAATAAGATTCAAATAGTACGTGATGAGCTAAGCACCGGATAAAAGTAACATGGTTCTCAAGTTTTCCTCATCCTGATGTTTAACCTGCTGAGTCGAAGATCATTCACTCTTGTATAGTCAGCAGATTAAAAGGCTGTTTTCGGTCTGGCATATTCAAGACCAATGTTTTAAAATATTCCTTTTAGTAGTAGTAATAATAATAATAATAATTAAAAAAAAAGGATTATAATTTTATTTACTTTCAAATATCTGTTTCATGCTCCAAGCAAACTCTGAAAGAGCAATAGCTTGTCATCATTTTAGCCAAACAGAGCCTGTAAAATAGTCACTATTCTGTTTATTTGTTATAATTGTGTAAGTTATAAGCATCTGAATATGTAATATTTTTAATCCTTAAAAAGATTTTACTTTGTGTTTGCATTTACCTTCCTCAAATTAAGATGTGCTGATGATTAACTTCTAGATTATCAAACTTTTACTATTAGTTTCCCAAGAATATTTAACAAATTACATATTAAAATACATTTTTAAGAGAACTATGGAATTATGATGAAGTTTGCAAATGTTTATAACTTGGTAGTAATTTAACAATATGTACTTTTGACTGTAATATTATCAGAAACTTTACAAAGCTTAGATTATATTTGTCTTTGAAATGGGTAGTTTCAAGCAGTTTACATAAAATCTTGGTGCTTCATCGTAGGCATTTGTCCTCTAAGTACTAGATTTGCTCTAAACTTCATTTAGATTTGGAGATGAAACTCAATTTTATGTACAGCTGAAATTTTTATAATTTTTGTCATGGCTTGTGATGATAACGACAAAAGACAAACAATGGATGGTACTTTAATATACTTTCAATTACATATTTGTACCTTAAGATGACTGAAAAATGTAAAAGTTTTCCAACATTGTAATCAATCAAACAGATTCCTCCATTTATTTATTGTTGAATTCATGATCTCTCTAAACTTGAGTGTTGTGTGTGTTCTTTGTTTCAAAACTTTCATGTAAGTAATCTACTTTGTAGTCTTTTTCTTTTGAAGCTTTCATGACATAGCCTACTGTCATTTTTCAAAAATAAGGCTCTAGCACCTTTCATACATTATACAATTTTCTCATGAAAGGTAATTTCAGATTTTATGTCTAAGCTTTTTTCTGTTAGACTGTAAGTAACTTTGACTAATGTTATATATGCTAATTAGTTAAAACATTTTTGATTGTTATTTTTTGATGCAAAAATTTACATCTCAAAGTGTAACTCAGACACTCTTGTGCATTTTATGAATTTCTTCATAATTTTCCAGATGCTGGCTGTTATTTCAAACTGATTATGATTCGAAAGTAAACTATGCTTCATCATGTTTTTTATAGTTAATGTGTTAATGAGCAATTAATAGAAATCTTGTACATTTGAAATATGAAACAAATTGTTTTTGTAATTTGTTATACAGAACCATTGTTCAAGTTATAGGCTGAGGTTTTTAGTGGATATTTTGTGGAAATATTTTTAACTTTGACTACTAGCAGTAACATAACACCAGAGTACAACTCAGATTGTTTGAAAATATAAAATGTATCCTGGTTTTAGAGGTGACTGCAGAAGTAGGACCCACACAGTGGTGGGGATACACCATCTATCAGGCTTAACCTTCCTTTGCATGCCTAGCAGGCTGTAAAATAAAAGGTAAAAAGAGAGAAGTAGATGCGGGTACTCAAGCCTACAATGTCCCACATCCTTGCCATTTTTTGCTGTCTGCAACCAGTTGTGGGAAGGTGGTCGGCTGCTCTAGGAAAATTAAACTAATACTGGAAGTGATAAATAGAAACATCTTCTGATGTTGTGTTTCCAGCTTCAATTTAGTCACAGTGTGAAAAGAACTGTAGTTGTAAAAATTTAAAAATGAATTAATTTTTAACTAGTATAACCCCATGCCTCCTACTTTCAATTAAGAATCTGCTAAACATGGTATGTTTTATAAGTAAATAGACATATGACTTACAATGCATATGTAAATGTATGTATGTGTAGTGTATTTGTGTATAGGTAGTTGCTCACAGGAAATATACAAAATAAAAACAATAGTATATAGTACATTCATGTATTCTATTTATCTTTCTTGCTATATGTCTTCCCTTTTTGGGCATATAATGTAAAACAGTTTTATTTTTTGTTTATCCAAAAATTTATACATTGTTTTCTTTGGTGCCACTTTAAATAGATAGAGGTAACAGGGCAGAAGTAGCAATGGTTATGTAAAGTCAGTTGGAAATGTGAAACCATAGAAACTTGTTAAGAAATACAAAAAGGACATTAATTAAGAGGTATTAAATAATGAAAGATTATGGAATAAATTGCTTTTATGTGATAAGAGAATGTATAATTAGAATAAGATTTTAATTAAAAACATATACTGGATTAACTTTAACCGATTTTATTTATTTTTGAGCATTTTCTAATATCCCTAATTTATATAAGGAGTGTATTATATGTTTGTACATTTGGAAAATATCCTGAAGTTACCTTTTTGAACTCGTGAAACTGGTCAAAGAAAATATAGGAGAGAAAAGCACTTTTTAATATTTTAGTATTTTGTTAATCATATCCTCAGGTGAAACTTGAATTTTGGTTATATAAAATATTTTTAAATTTCAGCTGCAAATTGAAAATACTTGACATACCAAAGAATGAAAAGCAAGATAAACCATCAACTTGAAATTGATGTCTTCATTCCTAAAAATGCTTCGGTTGGTCACATATTCCTTCTGGCCCATATGAATGCTTTTGTATAATTGTATTGATGTTTTGCTTTTGTGCTATATCTTTACATTCTTTAATTATCTGTAAGCTTTTCTGTGTTTTTTTTGTTCTAACTCAAGTGAAATTTTAAAAGTTCCAAAGTGAAAGTGTTTATATTTTCTAGTTTTGAATTATACCATAATAGTTCAAAACATTTTTGAATTTTATTAATATTTTCTTGTAATAACACAATTAAATGGATATAACTACTTTTGCCTCAGTTAATGTAATTAATGTGCATTTTATTATTATAGTATGTGATGTGACAAAAATGCTTTAAAACATTCCTTTTCTTACTTATTTTAGTAAATTTTTATCACTTGAAGCAGTTTTTTCAAAATTTTGAAGGTATTTTTTTCATATCTTTCAAAAATCTGTGATTCTCATCTACTAAGTAGTACAAGTCATTTTATAAGTTGTTCCTTTGGTTTTTGCTTAGTTGCTTGTGTGAACTAGCTAGAAGTTACTTTTCTTTTTTAATTGATCAAGAATTAGCCAACATGTAGTTGATTTCCAAAGTAAATGGTTATTTTTTGACACTGATAATAATAATAATAATAAACAATAAAAATCTGTATCTATTCTTTAACTGCATAGTATTCTTTAGTTTCTAAATTTCACTCAGCAACTTTAAAGTAGCTTTATTGTTAACATGTCTTTTTCTTTTCTTTTTTTAATCTGAGTAGAATAAATTGGAATTTTCAACTTGTTCCAAATTTGATTTTTGCAATAAACAATTATTTGTATATAGGCATTTATGCAGATATTCAAAGTTTTCATAGGTGCTTTTTGAAGATTCTTTTCAACTTTCTCTTTTTGGAAGTAAAGATCTAGGTCACTTGTTTTGCATTAAATGGCTTACTGCTCAATTTATTTTATATTTTATATGTTTTGTAATACTTTATTCACTTGTAGGACTAGATACGTGATAGATTAAAATTGAGTAAAGTGTGACAGTTGCCTTGCATGTATCAGTCACCAAATTCTTTTGAGATTTAATCAGTGAATCACTATTCTGCCATCACATAAATGTATTTTTGTGCACTTAAATATCTAACATAAATATGTATGCTGTGATGTTGCCACTTATTGTGATATAATTTGATGTTCTCATGTAGTGAAATTTCAGCATAAAAATAAAGTTGATAACTGGTCTTGCAATCTGTTAATTTGGTAGTATTATTATTTCCTATTACAACATGATATTTATGATTAAAAAATAAATAAATTCATGAATTGAAGTATATTGTTCTTTTACTTGATACTGACAAATAAAACACATCATTTCTGTAAAAAGAAAGGAAGTCTTATATTAAATGATTTGATAAATCAGTAAATTGTGTGGAATTGGAGTACATAAGTGGAAACAATTTAATGTTGGGATACAAAATATTCTCCTTAAATTAAGAAATTAATATTTTTCACATGTTTAATTCATTCCAATTTAACACGTGCTGTGTCTCGGTAGACCATTTTACCATAATTATTCTGTTTTTATAAAAAATTACTTTTGTCAATCAAAACAAACTAAACTCAGAAGTTTTAATAATGTTGTAGATAAGCTTTCTTCTAAATATTTTTATTTGGTTTCAGTAACATTCCTATATAATCCTCATTTTCTTTCCTGAACTCAAATAGCTTATTTTATTATACTTGGAATTCTCTCAGTCTGGGAAATCCTTAAAGCTTTTAAATTTTACAACATTTCCAGGCCTGGAAATATGGAAAAGTCTTGCAATTTAGAAAAGGAGCTGATGGAAAAGTGTTAATGAAGCTTAGATACATACAGTTTGAAAACAAATTATCAAATAGAGGGACCATTTTGCTATGTGTGCACATGAACATTATTGTCTACATGTTGTGTTGTGTGGGTCCAAAAACATGATCATGTCTTAACCAATTTGGTCACAGTACCTACCAAGTTTGTGTTAAGAAGTAATGAAATATGATGAAACATTACTTTCAAAATGATATAAGGAACTACGACTAAACAACATGTTCTGTGTTATATATGAAGAAGTAATGAAACAGAAATAAACATGTTAAGAATAAGCAACTTGCTTCTAAACATCAGTTGTTGTGTCTTATTTGTTTATGGAAAGGATCAACAAACATAATATTCTGAGTGGGACATGGTAAGGAGGAACTAACCATGGCAATCACTATCTCTTATGTGTATGAGTAAAATAGTAAGGAACTATGTCAAAATATTAGCCTCAACGAGTGACACATTAAGGAGTAATAAACAATTTCAAAACAACATCTTTTATGTGTGTACATGTTAAAGAGAAAGAACTATAACTAAACTTTAACAAGGATGTGTACATGGCAAGGAATAATTAACCAAGATTAAGCATTATCTTCCATGTGTACAAGTGAAGATGTAATGGACAAAAACTAAACATTATCTTCTAGGTATACATGTTAAAGAATAAGAAACTAGAATCAAACATTAATGATTATATATACACGAAAAGGTATAATCAATTAAGACTAAGTATTATCTAACAAGAGTACGTGTGAAAAAGTAATGAACAAGATGTAAACATTACCTTCTAGTTAGACATATTAAGAAGTAATAAACAAGAACGAAATATTAATGTATTTGTTACAAGTAAAAGAGCAACTAACTGTAACTAAACATGAACGTCTATATTTACATGGTAAAAAATATGCGAATATGACCAACCATCAATGTCTATGTGTACATGTAAACGAGAGATGAACTATGACTAAACATAATATACTAATTGGTATATGTTAGGGAGTAAGTAATTGATTAAACATTATAGTCTAAGTAGTAAAAGTTAAGGAGTAACGAACTAGTTCCAAATAATATATCATAAGTAAATATATTAAGGAGTAATACACAATGTCTATGCATTAAGGCCTATGAGTTACATGTTAATGACGAATAAACAATAACTTCTACATTTTACCTGGTAAGGCAGGAAGAACAAGGCATAAAACAGCAGGAGCAAATTGAAACCCGGAGTAAATGCAGGTACAGTACTAACAGGGTATAAGAAAGGAAACAACAGGTGGAAAGCATACATGAGGCAGGAATAATCAAGAGATATTCAGTATATAGAGAAGTTTTGGGTGGAAAAGTCACTCAGTTTCATCCTCCTCAACTTCAGCTTCAAAATCAGTGAAGGGAAATGTGTGATAGGGATGGAAGAAGAGGGTCCAGGCAACAGCATGGACCCCACCACATGTTGGACAATGTTACAATATTCTTCTTACTTTATTTGTCAACCTGAGCAGCACTTTTGATGGTTGTCACAATCTCAACAGGCAAAACCTTCCTAAGTTGTTGGTAACTGTGAGTGATATTTATACTCACATCAGCAGAAATAGAATTCATATTGAAAGGTTGAAAATACAAAGTCTCAGCAAAAAATAAACATGTCTAAGCACAACTGTGTCATGGAAAAGAATGAGGATTTTCATGTGTGAATTTAGAGGGTGCATTTGTATTGGTGGAGGACTTTGCTGCATGTTATATCATCATGCAGTAGCACAAATTCACATGAATTTTAAGTGGGAGTTTCACAAGGCTAATGGCATGCAAACCTATAAGACAGAACAGTGCAACTTCAAGAGGAAAATAGTTAATCTGTGCATGGAGGGGAGCCATCATATCAAATGATTCTTTATAAACTGTTGTACTCTTGTCAAATTAGTGTATGCACAGATATATGAATTTTTAATACTTTAAGTATTTTTAAGTGAGCACTAAATTATTATGTTGCAGCTTTTAATGGTTAATTCCTATTCGGCACTGATTTAAGAAATATTGCTCTTAAATTTAAATATTTATGACATTTAAAGAAATTATTTGATGTATTTTCACTTTATTTTCAATCTTTACTGTTAAAGTTATTACTTGGAACCATAACTTATGTTGTGGATATACCCTTTATTGACACAGGATTTGTTAACTTATATTTACTGATTAGCACGCTTCACATATTCTGTATTGGTAAAGTGAATACCCTAGTAGTTCTATTATACATAATGGTATGTAACCTCAGTAATTGTGTTGTGGTACATCGTAAACCAGAGTATAACATATCAATACCATAACAATGCTCTGGACACATTATAGTAAAAGCCTCAAAATAAATAAAAAGGTACAATTTGATTTTGTTTTTTGTTGAATTATTATTGTGGTAATACAGTGGCTTATATAACTATTATAGTACCATATCCTTCATAGAAATATGTCAAAGAAATATAGTCAAGTTGTGGCTTTCCACAGTTACAAGAAAAAGTAACAGTGTGCTTCTATAATTATAATATTACATAATTTACACTTTTGTTTTTATCATAAGAACAGATAAAATACTTGACAGTTTTGCATTTTGAAATTTGAAACTTGAAATTTGAATTTTAGAAAGAATATATGATATTGTGTGAAATGATAAATTCATTTATTCAGAGACAAACTTAGCATTTTTTAATACAACTAGTTTTTATGAGCACTTAAAATAAGTTAAAAATCATTTCCAGATGAGAACAAGTGCACTCCTTACAATGTTGTTAAGAAATGGTTATGAAAATCAATTTATACATCTTGTATGAATGCTAACTAAACAGACAAAGTTAGAACATAAAATAACTTACATTAAGCTGCAATTCTGTAGAAAGAATACAATAAAGCTGATGAAAAGAATACATTACAAGGCCTTTGTCACAAAGCAAATCTTGTATTCTTCAAAATTATCAATAATTACAATGAGATGAACACATTCTTGTGAAATAATATTTTCTTTTTTATGGTATTTCAAGAAATGAGGGTAACCCTAATACTGTCATACTTCTTGTGTTATGTCTTCAGTGCTAAGTTTAGAAACTAAATAATATATCAAATGCAGAAGGATTTCAGGTAGCAGCAAACATTTATTTCATAAAAGTCTATTCACACTTCACATTTTATTGACAGCACTGATTTCCAACATTGAGTAGATCTAACCAAGCCATAGTCTATTTCAGAACTGTACATTTCTAATGAAAAGTTTAGTAACACAGGGTATTTTTATCTTTTAAAATAGCATGTAAAATGAATTTCAAAGCTAAAAACGTTTAATACTTTTATTGTTCAATAGTTATAAAATGATCAAAATAAGCTACTTTCTGATATCATTTAGAATACTTGCTTATTTGCTTCTTTGTTGTTTCTGACATTTGGAAAAACTATCATGGTCAAAATAAGAACTAATGATTTTTTTATGATTACAAAATTAAACATTAAACCATATTCTTGATTATTCAATTATTAACAACAATACTACATTTTGTACTAGATAAAGCTTTCATTTGGAAATATTCTAAATTAGTGTTTCATTGAGATAGAACCAATTTTTTTTTAACTTTCATGTTAAAAAAATTTTTCTTGTTCAATGAATGATTCTAGAATTCTTCTTCATTCAACTAGTGTTGAGAAGAAACATACCAGCGATAAGCAAAGGAAGCCAGAAGGGCTGCACCAACTGGAAACAACCAACTGAACCACAAGCTGAAAATTACAATACCAAAAATATTTAATTTTTTTTATTTGTTAATATTATGCAATAAAAGCACAAAAACTAACATCAGATGAAATAAAATTATAATAAAAAATACACAAGGTAAATAACAAATAATGTAGAAAATGTCTGTTAAATATACAAGCCCATCTTATGCATAAAAAGATACAAAGCTCTGTTTTCTAATTATAACTGCAAATTCAAATAAGTAAAGAAAATGTACAATATACTTTCTTAGTTGTAATCACTAACTTAAGCTAATAAACAGAAATTTCAAATTCATTTCTTGATGATAACTGCAATATCAAACAAACATACAAGGGCATCCACAGAAATATTTTCAGGGGCAGGGGCAAAACATGTATGTGAGGGATCAGCTTTTACAGCTTGTATTTATTTTAGACTTGAAGAATATTCACAAATAATAAATACTAGATAAGAATAACAATATGGATTCCAGTTATAAATAGAATATCAAGAGTATTAAAATTTCAGACATGAACATATTACCATTTCTTCACAGGTGAAAATGTTTTATTACAGTAACTACATATTTTGGTGGACAACATGATTCACCATCTTCAGGAGATAAAGAACACATGAAGTTCATTTATGTACTCAAGTAAATGTACCAGTACAATTAGCATATTGTACAGTGGCACTATTTACAAAATCAAATTCCAGAAATTCACTTTCATAACACCTGGACCAAAACCTCTATTCAAACTCATCATTTTGTTTTTAACAATTCCTAAAGATTTTCATATATTTAATTCATTTTAAAAAGACAACATTAAAGGACAGCAAAGGACCTTTTGGTCCACCTAGGCAGTCCTATCCACTAAATCCTTAAAAAACAACTGAAATATTCATCAAACGTTCCCTGAAATTAATTGCATTCACAACATCTGAAAGCAATCCATTCCAAAGGTTATCCATCCTGTTAGAAAAATAAAGCTGTCTTAGCTGAAGATAAAAGGCTGAGGGAGCTGTGGAAAATAAAGGATGAAAGATTTGAACTCTGAGCAAAGAAGTTTTTAACTTCACCTATTTAAGTAATTTCACATTGTCCCAATCAACGGCATGTGAAGAGTTCAACACACGTTTCACCAAGGCAAAAAAATCACTTCTTTTTCATTAATCAATTGCATTTTTATTTTATCTTGTTCTAAATTTCAAATTTCTACTTGTCTGCTCAATATAATTGAAACCACAATAATGTGAAACTTTATAGATTCTACATTTATTTTTTAGTTCACTTTTATCTTTCAATTCATTAATAATATTACTTAACTTGAATTATGTGTAGAGTTATGTGACATTTTGTATTTTTCTAAAAACATTGCCTATTTTTGTTGGCGTTATACAGGATTATACAGAGAGTTTATTACACAACAAGAACTAGAGAGAGAGAGAGAGAAAAGCAGAAAGAGGAGGAAAGACAGAGAAGAGAGGAAGAAAGACTGAAAGGGAGAGAGAAAAGAAAATAAGAGAAAGGAAAGACTGGAAATAGAGAGAGAGAGAGAGATAATAAGAGCACAAATTGAGAAAAAAGAAAGAGAGAGAGGAGAGACTGCAAACAGAGAGAATAATAGCACAAATTTGAGATTGCAAAGCTTAACGAACCGAAGGAAGAAGGACCCAAGAATGACAATGGAGTCAGGGCCAGCCAACCCAAGCTACCCAAATTTGACAAACAGAAAGATGACATGGATGCCTTCCTGGAGAGATATAAAAGACTTGCCCAAAGGTGACTGGGCAGTTTGTCTCAGCCCACTTCTCACAGGAAAAGGCCTAGAAGTATATGCAGGCATGATGTCAGAAGAAGCCATGGGCTATGATGAATTGAAAGTAACTTTGCTGAAACAATATGAACTGACGGAAGAAGGTTTTTGCCAGAAGTTCAGGGAAGTCAAATCTGAAATTGGAGAAACTGCATTTCAGTTTGTGGCTATACTTCACAAGATGGACTGACATGGCCAAATGTGACAATAGTTTTGAGGGACTGGCAGACCTATTATTACATGAACAGTTTATAATCATGTGTTCAACTGACATGTCACTGTTCCTAAAGGAGAGAGCACTAAAAGTTGTGGAAGAGATAGATGATCAAGCTAGCAGAACAGTATATGTAAGCCCATGGAGGGAGTATAACTGGTAAGTTCAAAAATATCTAGTTAAATTCAAAACCAGTGATTGCTGACCAGAAGCAAGAGTCTAGCAAAGGTAACAGGAGGTTAATAGACAGAAGGGAGAAGAGACACTATGTTTGTTATAAAATAGGATACATTGCAAAGGAGTGCAAGTCCATCACCAGCAAGCAACAGCAGAAATCTCAACATAAAGCAGCTGGAACTATTTACAAAGGTAGTGCTGGTAAGAAACAAGAGTGACTGGCACCATGGATGCTACTCCCAGAACAAACAGAATCAAGAACACACATCAGATTTACCACAAGAAGGAAGTGCCAATTCCATAATTGATCAATGCACGACTAATGGTCGGTTCAAGTTAGCAAATGGATCAACAGTGCTAGTAGTGCTTGGAATGTGTGACAAACATCAAAAAGTGATACCAAATCACAACATGCCAGTAAGTGAAGGATATGTTGGGGACAAGAAAGTGAAGGTTTTACGAGGCACTGGGTGCAGCAGTGAGAACCAGTCTAGTATCTGATGATCACATGACAGGCAAGGTATGCTTGTGTGTGCCAATTGATGGGACAGTGAGGAAGTTTCCCATAGCAAAAATAAAGGTGGATACTCCATATTATATAGGAGACTTTGAGGCTGTGTATATAAAGGCACCAAGATACGACTTGGTGATAGGTAGGAAACATTTGAAGGAAGTACAGAAGAAAGACCCTTCACCACAGAAACTTTGGGACAGTACCTGAGAGGGAGTCAAGCATAAGACAAAGAGACTTACAAAACAGAGGACTGGAAATGAGTATTGAACCACACCTATCAAAACAGTTTTATTGGGGAAGCCAAACCCAAAGACAGTCAGAAACTCTTCTATAACAAGAAGACCAAGGGTTGACTTTTCAAGGTTGGACAGAAGGTTTTAGTTCTGCTACCAACAGCAAACTCACCTGGCAGTGAAAAGGGCCTTTCACAATACAGGAAGTGGTCCACAGAATGCATTATAAAGTGAAAGTTGATGGAACAACCATGGTCTACCATGCCAATCTGTTGAAGAAGTAATTTGAGAGAGAAGAAGACCTTATGGGTGCAGCTATTGATGTACAGATGGACATGGCAGGTGGGGCTGTCACAGAAGCAAAATCTGAAGACAATGACTTCGTTATAGAAGATAAGGACCTACTAGGCCTAAGAGCACTGGGTGGAGATGAGACACAAGGATATCAACACAAGTGAAGAACTAACTAGTAAGAAGAGAGAAACAGAATCTACTGTGTCAAGATTAGGAAATACAGACCCCAGACAACATGAGATCAAGATGAAGACAAGGGATTCTGTCAAGGTGAAGTCTTATTAAAGGCCCTACATGAGAAGAGACTGACAAAGAAACTTCAAATGTTGGTGTAGACTATGTGAGAAGACTTAGTATATGAGCTGAAAACAGTCTTTGTATATAGTGAAAATAATATTGTAAATATTTCTCTTCAAGAGGGGTTTATTGTCAGATACAAAAGGCTTTAGTGTATCTTGTATTATTAACTAAATTACTTTGGTATCTGTAATTCATATATATGGAGACTATCAAACATTGTGTTTGCAATTCATTGATGTCAAGGCTATGGAAATTTCTAGAAGGCTTAAGTGATAGACTCATAAATAGTTGCAACCAGATGAGGGAAAGGATAGTAAATATAAAGTCACGTGAAAGAGATGTTTAGTCACAGAAAAGGAGAAAACATAAAGTTAACCGTTATGGGAGTGAATGACCTAACAGTTGATATGTTAGAGTGAGATTAACAATTTGAAAGAGATAAGGAAAATAATTTGTCCTGTCAAAGGACTAAACTAATTGAACCTGCCTGTGTGGACTTTGAAGAAAGGCAGACGATTATTGGAAGTTTGTTTGTTTGTTTTGAACTTCACGCAATGCTATTCAAGGGCTATCTGCACTAACCATTCCTAATTTAGCAGTGAAAGACTAGATGGAAGGCAGCTAGTCATCACTACTCACTGCCAACACTTGGGCTACTTTTTTTACTAATGAATAGTGGGATTGACCATTACATTATAACGCCCTCACAGCTGAAAGGGCGAGCATGTTTGGTGGGATGGGGAGTCGAACCCGTGACCCTCAGATTGTGAATCAAGTGCTCTAACCACCTGGCCATGTCGGGCCATTATTGGAAGTTCAAGATACAACTGCGGTAACTCACGTGACAGCATAAGTGAATTACACATGGATGCTATTGCGATAAATATAGAGAAAAATTCTAAAGCAATTGAATTGGCCTAAGTTGAATTTATCACCAACAAGTCACAGACACCTACTGTAGGAGAATCCTTACCCCAACACACCCATATATTTACATTACTATATATACTATTAAAAAGTAAGTTTCTGACAAACTGCACAGAAGCTGGGTGCAACGTCAACCTCCAGGACCCACCACATGGAGGTGGAGCATATGTATTTTGAGATATACACAACATCATCTCCAAGATAGAACCACACAGAAATTGGAGCACAACACCAACCTCTGGGTTTCACTGCACAGAAATGACTTGCTTCTAGAAAATGTATGCAACCTCACCCTCCAGATAGAAATGCACAGAAGCTGGGTGCAACATCAACTACTGTCCACTGAATGGAAATGATCACATTCAGGCAGTCTTCTATATGGTCCACCACCCTAACAGCTTGGAACTGGAAAGTGGCAAGGACTCTCATACTCCACTGGAAGAAAAGGGGGGTGGGATAAAATGCAGTGGAAAGTCCAGAAGAACGCCAACACTGGAGACAGTGCAATGGGTGACCACAAAAACCATATTTTAAAAAAGTAGACAACCCGTGAGTTATTCAATCGTAGAGATGGGCAGCTATCCCCTTCTGCTTTACCTATGTAAGTCCATGGGTTAGTACAGTCCAGAACAGACATATTTATGAAGGTACAGAAAGGTCACAAGAAAGGTACAGGATCATATGATATCGGGGAAATGGATAAAATGGAATACACTTCATAAATCATATCTAAAAAAAACTG